ACAATACAGTATATAGCCTAAATAAACAGAATATATATATAAATAAACACATTTTTGCAATGATAACTCAAATGTGGTGATCAAACACTTATAATGATGTGACAAACATAGGCGTATGTAGTGAAGACAGGGTATTTAACAATTTAACAATAAACTTTATTATTCAAAATGAGTCTGACATCAGTGCACGTAACAGTAAACTTCACTTCACTTATTATAAATAACTTAAATAACACAAATATAACAAAATATATATAACTTGAATTAAGAAATTAAACAAGGTAACTGTGTAGGGCAAGCAAGCTCCTGACAAACCAAGAGGGGCAGGTTTATGCAGGAAGCACAGCTTTTCCAAATGTAAACATCTAAAATGAATAAATAATAATCATGAATAATATTTTCCCACAAATTCTGTGTTGTGTATTTTCTGGTAATCAAATGAACATGCAAAACATGAGGATTTGTATTTAAATAAGTCTTTTTGCAGTTTAATATTCACAGATAGTATATATATATGCCCTATGTACTGACCTGTTTTTTATTTATTCATCAAAAATATACTTAGCATTGAGTCTCTCCAAGTAGGTGGCAACGTAGCGTTAAATCACCATTCAACAGACTCAAGCCACCACCGCACTGCCGTCTATTGGACTGCAGAAAGATACTAACTTTTCAATCTGCTACGTTAATGACTGTCCTGACAAACTATGCTGACACCGTGTCTGCGCCGCAACAGGACGCGACAAAGCGACCACTGAAAATCATCTGCACTTTGTGTCAGCACATCATAAATAGAATAGAACGAGGCATGTGGAAAAGGATTATTTAGAATTGAATATGCACTACTTCAAGTGGGTTTGTGTTCGCACTGGTGTGTCGGTAAGGACAGCGGAGGCAGGATTCAGTTCCAGATTTTAATAAGTGATTGAGAATTAACAGCAATTGACAGCACAGTCAGACAACAGGGCATTTCTTGTTTAGGCACAGGTTGTGGACATTTATATAGATGTGGTCTGAAATTAACAAGGAATAAACAGAGATAACAATCAGTAGACTGTAATAACAATAAATCGACATAATAGGCAAGAAACAATAAAGTAAGCGTAGAGCCCTGATCCAGTGTGGACAGCCTCAAGCTGTTGGCTTACCTCCGGCCTTTTTTTCATTAGTTATATGTTTAATTTTTTTGGCTAGTAGAAATAATGAATGGCCGGTAACTTAAAAATTTAGTAGCCAAATTGGCTGGTGAGTGAAAAAGTTAATTTCAAACCCTGTATATAATCATATTCTTCAAGTATTTAACATGTACTGCAATTAAACATAATTGTAGTACTGTGTAATGCCGCTAGGTGGCACATGAAGCTCACAGATAGAAGTAGGTGAAAGGTCATTATATTTTGCTGCGTCATTAAGTAGAACGGTAAATATGCATAATGGCACGTAATTAACAGTCCACACGATATACAATATTCAATACTATGAATTTAGTACCTATAAACATCACTTAAATATATGAACTGAAGAATTAAACTTGTTAAGAAGGCCATACAGCAGATGAACTTGTACACACGAATTGCTATCGCTGCTCCAGTGAGTAAACAAGCTAGCGATAATGTACTAATACAATTATACCGTCACTTGACAAACATAAATAAAGAATCTCCTAGTAAAGTATATCAAAGTACACTTACATTGTTTCAATGACTCACGAAATAAATGTCCACCTTATGGAAAATTATCGTTCTTGTTCAGCCTCAGAACACTTGATGCTCCCTTCTCTTCAGTGAGCGATCATTGACTGACGTCACACAATACCAAGCGCTCTTATTGGCTGTGACTTCTTATCAAGGCGTCACTTTACTCCATCCAGTGTAGACAACATCACTGATTATAATGGGTTCTATTCTACACTGGACACTAGCGAAATTCTATTGTATTTTGTCGCGCCGCGCAATGTGATGTGACAGATGTAATAAGCATGAGTTCTGGGCCGCGGCGCGGCCGGTGTAAACACCAGCATTGACTGAGTGGCCGCGATCAGCTCCGGTGGCCGTAACACAGGCTTTAATGCGCCGTAGATGCGTGCCATGATGCGCAGACCAGCTCTAATCTCTAACGTCACTGAATCTGCTGTTAAAAATTAACCATCCATTCATCATATCATGCAAAACTAAGAATTAGAATCATTGTAATGTGACGATCAAGGGTGGGTGGCGGGCGGAAAATTTGAAGCAGCGGACTCGGGTAAAGTTTGAGCTCATCTGCGCATCTCTACACTACACTGACCTGGGTTGCCAGTAGCAAGCAATGGAGCGCGCTCTGCTGGACAAACTAAGTAATTACACCATTCAGAAGCATTTAATCTGCGTTATATGTTCTGTAAAAAAAAAAAATTTCATATCGGCGGCATATTCGCCGATACCGATATATCTGCGTCAGGCTCATATCGGCCGATAATATCGGCAAAACGATATATCAGTCGGGCTCTAATTTTGATAGTATCACACAGCTGCTGCAGATTTGTCAACCCCACATCCATGATGTGAATCTTCTGTTCCAGCACATCCCAAAGGTGCTCTATTGGATTGAGATCTGGTGAATGTGGAGGCCATTTGAGTATAGTAAACTCATTGTCATGTTCAAGAAACCAGTTTGAGATGATGTGAGCTTTGTGACATAGTGCATTATCAGACATCACTAGATGGGTTCACTCTGGTCATAAAGGGATGGACATGGTCAGCAACAATACTCAAGTAGGCTGTTAGTGCCCATCTGGCACCAACAACCATGCCGCCTTTAAAGTCACTTAAATCACCTTTCTCCCCCATTCTGATGCTCTGTCTGAACTTAAGCAGATCGTCTTGACCATGTCTACATGCCTAAATTCATTGAGCTGTTGCCATGTTATCGGCTGATTAAATATTTGCATTAACAAGCAGTTGAACGGGTGTACCTGTGGCTGGTGAGTGTATATACTATATAGACTTTCAGTGGGGTTAAGGTCAATTGGTGGTCAATTCTTGTGTGAAAATGAACCCTTCTTTTCACACCTTTAATATATATTATTTTTTCTCTTGACCATAGATTGCAAAAAATCTCATCTCAGCACTTTTGATGAATGACTATGCTATTTTTAAATTGGTAATTTCATCTGAATATCAACATTTGTGAGATTTAGTCAGTCGAAATAGTTTTGAGGTCAATTGATCTAATTTTGTATTTCTGGAAAACAGTGATCTGTGACAGTGTATTATGTTGAATATCAAGGTTTATTGTGTCTGTTTGTTGATGAGGGATACGTGGATACATTATTGTGTTTAGAAAGCCGTACTTTCTTTTGTGAAGTAAAAAGATCATATTTGACAATGGGGTAAGATGACCCCCCAGAATTGACAGAGGGACCCAAGTGGCATGTTGTTACTTGTGTTATTATTTTAAATGTAATACTTATTGTAATTAATGGGGTTATATTTGAATGTTTCCATGAATTATATGTACATTTCAGACATCTTCGCTTTCATTAGAACCTACAGGTTAACTGAATCAAATCTTTACATTAAGATTCATAGTGTTGCTAATATGACATATATTTAATTAAAATATGGATAATGAACTATGTAATATGAATCTCTTGTACTGGGATTCTGCTTTGCCTGTCATCGGTTACTCAGTTACTCAACTAAATTGTCAAAGTAAAATTTTACATAGAATAGTTTATTTAGGGTTTTACGTTAATCACTCTTAAAATATAAATATTGACAAGAATTATATCAAAAGTCATTTATACAAGTTTTTCTAGGGGGGGCTTCTTACCCCAGGTAGGGGGCAACTTACCCCTCTTTTAATATTAGACATTTTGTGCTATATAACTAATATAGCTAATGTAATATAGCTAATATAGCAAAACATAAGTAAATCCAAATCATATATTTACATGTAATCATTTAGCAGATGCTTTTATCTAAAGCGACTTACAAATTAGGATGATAGAAGCAATCAAACCAACAAAAGAGCAACAATATGTAAGTGCTATCCCAGTTAATCTAACACAGTACATGTAGGAAGTTTTTTTTTTTTTAATAAATAAATATAAAAATATAAAAAGATGCAATCCCGCACACTATCAATACTAGCTAAATATTGAAGTTTATTGTCACAAGCACAAGCAACGCTTCGGTCCACTGACCTTCATCAGGCATATGTGCTTATTTATCAATAAATAAATAGAAAAATAGATAGTAAGATAGTATTATGGGTCAAGTGTTGACGAAAAATGTGTCTTTAGCCAATTCTTGAAAATTACTCAGCTGCTCAAGCTGAGATAGGCAAGTCATTCCACCAGCAGGGAACAGTCAATGTAAAGGTGTGTGAAAGCTAGTGCAAATTGATGAACAGTGGTGTGACGTGCTCTTTTTGGCTTGTTAAGAAAGTATTACAATAGTCCAATCTGGCTAGAACAAGAGCTTGGACCAGGAGTTGTGTAGCATGCTTTGATAGGAAGGGCATAATTTTCCTGATGTTGTACAACGCAAATCTGCAGGACTGGGCGGTTCTAGCAATGTGGTCTATGAAATTCACCTCATTATCAATCACAACTCCAGAGTTCCTGGCTTTCCTGGAAGGAGTTGTGATGAAACACTAGGGTTGGCCGAAATAGAGGTAGAGTTGAGTGTCATCAGGAAAAGCCATGTCTCTGAATAACAGTTCCTGGTGACATGTAGATGGAGAAGAGGTCCAAGCACTGAGCCTTGAGGTACTAAAGTAGCTAGATGTTGCAACTTTTAGACACCTCACCCCTCAAAGACACCCTGAAGGACCTACATACATATACCTATTATAAGTATGTGTGTGTGTGTGTGTGTGTGTCTTTTGACATTAATCAATGTCACCATTACTGAAAATATTATAAAATGACTGTAATTCTGTGAGAATTACAATCAGCATTTTATGACACTGGTTTATTTAATACTTTCTTAGATGTATTCTCCAATATTTTCCAGCTCATCTGCCTGTTCCTGTCATCAGCAGAGACTGTTCTGTTCTCAGAATCTACCAGAATTGTTCATTGGTGTGTTCAGTGGTGAATGTGGGTCATGTGACTCTCTCCTGGTACAAAGGAAACAGTTTATTGTCCAGCATCAGTGTGTCTGATCTCAGCATCAGTCTCTCTCTACCTCTGGAGGTGGAATATCAGGATAACAACACCTACAGCTGTGTACTCAACAATCCCATCAGCAACCAGACCACACATCTGGACATTAGTCAGCTCTGTCACACATGTTCAGGTATGTCAACGGCATTATACTTTTTTCTACAGAGTAAATGAATCATTTTTTCTATTTTTTTATGTTGCTCATTTCTTCTTTTACAAGACTACATCCACTGTTGTGGTTCTACTGAAGTGGTGATCCGATTGGCTCTCTCTGCTCTGGTGGGCGTGGCTGCTTTTGCTGTGCTTGTTTATGACATCAGATCCAGAAGTCTTCTACAGAAGATGAGAGAGCAGAAATCAACATCAAACTCTGATTAATCAGATACTCAGGATGAAGAAATCAAGAAATCCTTTGAGTAAATAGCATTCACAAATATATATAATGTAATTGCTTATTCATTTTATCAATTATATAAAAAATGTATCAATTATCTTAAAGATTTTAGCGTATTTTAGCTTAATTCATAATGCAAATCATTCTGCTTTACAGAGAACAATGCTTTGCAAACCCATTGTGATTTATTAGACAATAAGTTTGTGTATAAATGTTTTTGTGTGTGTGCCTGTGTGTGCCTGTATTCTGTTGTATTATTGTAAGTTTCAGTCTCAAAGTTTACCGCTCAGTGAGAAAATGATCTGTAGGTACACCTGTAGTTATCTGAATAAAAACTTTGGGAAGATTAATTGCATTTAATAGATTATACTTTCAATAAAACATTTGAAATTGGTTTGAAAGGCTATTTTAATGCATGTTTGGACTGAGGTTTTGTTACATTTACACTGATCAGCAGGAGTCTGCCTAATATTAAAATATAAATTTAATATAAAAAATTGAGAAGGCCTTTGACTTTCTATCTCCTGATAATACAGAAATAGAGAAAGTTACAGGCACACTGGGTTCCTGCTTGTTCTGTAAACGTTTGTGAATGTTGCTGCTATCAAAGAGGGGACCCAACACATATCACTGAGAGCTGCTATCAGTTGTTTTTGGTTCACCTAGAGCAGATGGAGGAGGGTTTGGGCCCTGGCGTTGTGGCAGCGGCCGGAGACCTCTCACAGGAGCTGGATTTCAATAATCTTGCCTATAAAAGGAAGATTTTATATTGGTCTATAGTTACTCAATATGGTGTTATCAAGATTGCTCTTTTTCAGAATGGGTTTAACAACTGCAGTTTTCAGGGAGTTTGGTAAAGTCCCAGAAAGAAGTGTGGCGTTCACCACTTAAGAGATCTGCTTCTAAACAGGTTTAACACACTTTTGAAAAAAGATGTGGGAAGTGTGTCAAGATAGCAGGTTGACGATTTTAGGTGCTGTACTATTTCTTCCAAACTTTTGCTATCAATTGCTTTAAAAACACACATAGTAACTTCTTTTTGATATTGCGGTCGAATCTGTCTGACCTCTGCATAACTTGAGGATGCGCTAATCGCCTTTCTGATATTATTGATCTTCTCAGAAAAGAAGGAAGCAAACTCATTGCATTTGCTGTCAGAGAGCATTTCACTGGGAATCTGAGGAAGCATGAGGAAGAATTTTTCATCCAATACTGTTATCATTAACATAGTTGAGGTTGTTTGGAGTATGGGGTCACATCACTTGGTTCAAATTTTCTGTGCTCGTTTTGTCAGTTTGACCTAAAGCCAACACGTCCGCCCATGGGGCTGGACATTCAGAAAATGTAGAAAGTAGGCATGTATTAATCTTACTTTTTTCAGCAAAAAATGCAATAGAACTATTAGTATTAATTGTCAACATTGTCTTGAGATGTTGAAAAAGAAAATTAAGTAATATGTTGTTCGTGTTGTTTTTTATCGCATTTTGAAATGCTCCTGAGATAAGTTGCCTGTTTAGGGAATAAAAAAGGATTATCCTCAATACTGACAATGAATGGTGTCACAAGGTAAATTGTGCCCCCAGTTCTGGTTATTTCATTATTGTGCCCCTTGATAAAAATTATCTCAGAGAAGTGGGGTGGGGTGTGGATGGAGGTTATAAATCTCATCAAGGAGAGCAGATCCCCCTCAGTAGAAATCGCATTCCAAATCTACACCCCTTCCCGGCCTCTAGGCCCCCTGTACACAGTCTCCTTTTCTATTTATTTTGAGTTGAAAAATTGTGCAAATGTTAATATTTGCATATAAAACGGATAATATTACATTTAGTTGACTACATCTTTGCATTCTAACTAGATTTTCTCTTGCAGGGTTTCACACAGCTCATTTTATGGTAGAACAGGGGTGTCCAACCCAAAGGGCCACCATCCTGCAGCATTTAGACATCTGAAAAATCTGACAAAAGTCTCCAGGATTACATAAAAATTATATTTTGTTACATAAATTACATTGTGCAGGACAGTGGACCTCAAGGGTTGGACTTGCCCACCCCTGAGGATAAAGATGAGACAGTTAAAAACTGTAAAAATACAAGAAATATCTATGCCTCAATTTTAGGACACTTAGACATATCATACATGCAGCATATTTTGAATATTCCATATTTGTTTGCATCAAATACATCATAGAATTATTGATGACTTGGGCTGTGTTTTAACGTGTCCTGGGAGATACAACTCATAAAATAAAAAATATATCGAATATTACAAAAATTCTTTTGAATATGTTTTACTTAAGTCCAGATGATATAAAAAGTTACATTAAATGATTTTTTTGCTTATTATTTTCCACTCTTGCCTGTTTTAGGGTTAAGTCATTGATCAGAAATGATTTATTTTTTAGTGAGCGAATATTTAAAAATGCTAACTTGATGACATTACTTTTTGTCTCTACAGCAATCTTAGTTTGATGCATAATAGGCCGCAGATTACATGGGTCAGCCGTACGGCTTGAGAAGGCCTTTGACTTTCTATCTCCTGATAATACAGAAATAGAGAAAGTTACAGGCACACTGGGTTCCTGCTTGTTCTGTAAACGTTTGTGAATGTTGCTGCTATCAAAGAGGGGACCCAACACATATCACTGAGAGCTGCTATCAGTTGTTTTTGGTTCACCTAGAGCAGATGGAGGAGGGTTTGGGCCCTGGCGTTGTGGCTG